CGGCTCACTCTCCCTTGTCTCCTCCCCACTGGTCCAAGGCTCAGGTGCCTCCTGGTGGCCAACCAGCTTCTCTGTGCCCTGTGGCAGCTCCAACAGCGCCTGCTGGACCACAACACGAGGCCTACCCCCACATTTTGGGATGTTTACATGCATCCAAAACCAAACATAAAATACAAAAAAAACCACCTCATTATGTCTAAAAATACAAATTCCAGTCCATAACGTCATATCTCTGTTAAAAATTCGAGAATCATCAGCATTGAGTCTCAAAGTTGCTTTTTTCAGGAGGCAACTGGACTTGTTTTTTCCTTGAACCCAAGAAGGCTCCATGCCCGTTGGTGACCATGAAGACACAGATAAGCTTCCAAGTGGCCTTGATGACTTGCTAAAAGAATGCGAATGACCAGCCCTCTGCAAGGAATATAAATCCTTCCATTCTCCACCATCCAGCCAGAGCTGAAGAAGCTTCTTGGATGAGAAGCGAAACATCTTCAAAAAACACCAAAAAAGTTCAGCCACCCCCTGAAAAAGCACCTTTGGGACAACCATGACCTGGATGACTGAAAGTCACCATAGACAAGAGGTGGTATTCAGTCAGTTCTGACTGGTTCTGGCAAACCGGTAGCGGAAATTTTGAGCAATTCAGAGAACCAGCAAATAACACCTCTGGCTGGCCCCGCCCCATCTATTCCCTGCCTCCCAAGTCCCAGCTGATTGGCCGGGTCTTCTTCTGTTGCCCTGCACAGGAGAACGGAGCTGTAAAGCAGTTTAGTGGGGTGGGGAGGGAACGGAGATTTTGCAGTGTCCTTCCCACCATGCCCACCAAGCCATGCCACACCCACAGAACCAATAGTAAAACTTCTGAATCCCACCACTGCCATAGACACTAACCACTAAGATTCAAAATCCCACCACAATCAAATCAGCTTTACTGCCTTGCAAAACATCAGACATGAGTGAGAAAGTTCCTGGAAAGGTGATCTAAAATATCCCGGCCACAACAGAGAAAATCTGCCTTCAAGTCCATGTCTCCTTCACCTCTTGAAGGATCAGGACTTTAAGGATCTCCTCCCTAGGGGATCACCTAAAAGGAGTAGACTCCATCTGCAGGAGTCATCTGTAGGAAGGTTATTTTGAGATATCCTAGAACTTCATCCTACAGAGCTTGAGAAGATAATACCTGCCCTTTGATTTGATTTTTGGAAGCCTTTTGCTAACCAGTGAAATGTCCAAGGTCATTTTGCCCTTCAGAAAAGCTAAAACTCTTGTTAGCATTTTGTAGATTGTTTTAGATTCTTATTAAATGTTCATTNAGACAGACAGACAGACAGACAGACTGTATATACAGTGAAATACTGTTCTTTTGCATCCCATTTTTCCCTTGGGGAAGAGAATTGTGGGTGCAGCTCCATGTTCATCCATTACCCACCTACATATATGCTCACACAACTCACCTGTGACATTCACACACTTGTTCTGCTCCCCAACACACTTGACATGAGTCCAGTTTCCATGGGCACATTCACCTTGGCCTGAATCGCAACAACTGGCACATTCCAAGCCATTCTCGGGCTTCTTCTTGACTCCTGCGGAGCAATCCATCCATCAGTTCAATTAATCATGTGCAGCAGGGGTGCCCCAACCCCACAGTCCGTGGACCAGCACCGATTCATGGCATGCCAGAAACCAGGCCATGCAAACTAGCGAAGCCCCTTCCATGGGATGCAGGCAGCACACGATACCAGCCCCCCTCCAGTGCACAGATCTGGTCCATGGTGCCCAAAAGGTTGGGGAGCATCGATGTACAGGCATTAGCACAATTTCAGAAAGTGAATTGGATAAATCTTTATACTCCTTTGAACTGCCTGAATCTCCTGATTCCCCCATTTCTTGACACCAGTTTCTATCTCACACTACGATATCTCATATTCGACTTCTCCTGGTGGATAACAGGAAAGCTACCTTGTTCTGAGAAATGGCTGCAGATGCTTTTAAGGCCAGGTCGCCCATCGTTACAGAGAGGGGTAGAACAGCAGCTGATCTCCAGTCTCCCTGAGAGTTCTGGCAGCATATACTGCCGGCGGCACAAGGTCTCCAGGGCACACGTCCGGTACGTCATTTTCCAGGCGCCATTGATCACTACGAATCAAAGAACACGATGGAACACGATGCATCAGACTGTAGGCGGGGGACTTGTCCTGACCCAGCTCCCCAAACACGACGAACCCTCTGAAGTTAACTTAAAAGATTCCTTTTATTAGGAGCGCCAGCAGCCCTGGCAAAAAAGTTTCTCTCTCAACACAGGCTAACAATTTCATCCGCCAGGGAGATAAATAGTTGTCTGCCATATCTATTCATCTCCGCCCCGTCTGTTATCCCCAGAGCTAGGGTGGAGCTTCGCTAGCAGCGGTGGTTCTTCCGTCCCGAGGACCAGCCCATAGATTTCCACTGTTCTCCTCTCCTCTGCCTTCTGTGCATCCACGCGTCAGGCACTGGATCCAGCTGTTCCTCCTCTTCCTCATCAGCCGCCTCCAGGCCTGAGAGCTGTTGACTCTCCACCTAAGAGCTGACGGACAGCCCAGGCTCTGCCCCTCCCTCTCCCTCTCCCTCCCCCCCCCTCTCTCTCTCTCACACACACACACACACACAGCTCCACTCCCTCTTCTCCCTCTCAGATTGCCTTGACACTGGCCCTGACTCCTCCCAAACCGCCTCCTCATCTGATTCAGCTGTCGGAGGGGCCAGCGGCGGACAGGCCACAACAGGGCCTCCTATCTACCCTGTCTAATTCAGGGAGGAGGATGTTCCTGAGTTATGAAGTGACTCTCAGAAATGATCGGCTAGCCTAGTGATTAGCAAAGCTGGAATTTATGGTTCAGCAAGATCTGGAATCCTACATGTTCCCCACCCGTAACCTCATTGTTTCATGTCAAGAGGGAGAGTTCAGGTTTCAGCGACCCTGTAGGCCAGCCTTGCCCAATTTGAGTTTCCTCCAGAAAGGTGGACTTCCACTTCCAGAATCTCCAGGATTTTCCTAGTCATAGTTGAAAAGTTTAGGAACTGAAGTCCACATTGATGATACTCAGGGCGCCTTAGGAGGAAGGTGCATTGCCCTCTTCTCCTGGCCATGGTGGATATCTCTCTCTCTCTCTCTCTCCCTCCCTCTCTCTGTCTCTCTGTCTCTCTCCCTCCCTCTCTTTCTTTGTCTCTCTCGGTCTCTCTGTCTCTCTCCCTCCCTCTCTCTCTCTCTCCGTCTCTCTCTCTGACTCTCTCTGTCTCTGTCTTGCTCCCTCTCTCCCACTCTCTCTCTCTCTCTGCCTCTCTGTCTCTCTCTCTCTCTCTCTCTCTCTCTCTCTCTCTCTCTCTGACTCCCTCTGTCTCTGTCTCTCTGTCTCTGTCTCTCTTTCTGTCTCTCTCTGCCTCTCTCTGTCTCTCTTTCTCTGTCTGTCTCTCTGTCTGTCTCTCTCTCTGTCTCTCTCTGTCTCTCTGTCTCTCTCTCCCTCTCTCTCTCTCTCATCATCTCCCCTCACTGCCTCTCCTATTTCTCCAACCTTTGTTTCTTCAGATTCTTCTGAACTGCACAAGTGCTGTCTAGTTTATTCATGTCGAGCTAGTGGGAAATCTTACTTGCTAATCTGTCTTCGCCTTTCAAATAGAGGCGCAGAAAGATCACAGATATGCTATTTCATGTATCTGCACTCAGCAGTTCTTCAACTCCTTTAATATCATTCCCGAACGTATTCAAGAAACATCTCAGTTTACCAGTAAAATCCATGCACTGATTCATATCTCCCAGGCACTTGACCCGAGTAGCATTCCCTTGAGCACAGTCCCCCGTGCCACGATCAAAACAGCTGTAGCACTCCATGCCATTAGCCTCCTGAGTAGTGCTGGCTGGAGCTGGGAAGATAGAAGAGAAGGATATCATTGTCATGGCTCTTTAAAAATATATTTCTTTTATTATTGCACTTGTTTATATAGCGTGCTGTTCTGACCCCCCTCATTCCACACCAAAGCACACTCCGAGCCACAGATAAGTTACAGCATTTAATTAACAGACAGACAGCTCCTTGGCAGCAAACCAGCACAGACAAGCTTGGGCAGCAATTAACACTGATAAGGGTTGGCAGCAATCCAGCCTGCCAAGCTCATAACAATATTCTCCAACATTCGATCCTGTGTTGACTTCTGCAAAGAGGGGTGTATGCACAAGTAGTCTTTTTATAGTCTGGAGAGGAGCCTAATGACCACCAGCTGAGTGCAATTACCTCCTGTAACTGTGTAACTGTTCCTGATGCCTATTAGCTCTTTGATGCCATGCATCCAGGAACAACTCACTACTGGCATACGGCTCACTCTCCCTTGTCTCCTCCCCACTGGTCCAAGGCTCAGGTGCCTCCTGGTGGCCAACCAGCCTCTCTGCACCCTGCTCGGAGTTGGAACCCTGTCCAGGGTCTTCCACATCTTCTAGAGCCGACTCATAGGTCCCCTCGCTGTCGGAGTCTGGTGGCAGCTCCAACACCTCCTGCTGGGCCACAACACCTTGCTATGATGGAAAGTCGTGAAGAAGGAAGAACTATAGCAATATAGCAGTAGACTTATATACCGCTTCATAGGCCTTTCAGGCCTCTCTAAGCGGTTTACAGAGA